TGGGCCATGCTTTCTTTTAGGAATTTGCATCCAAAAATCCAAACCACACAATCTCTTTGGTATATTTGATCAGTCTCCTAAAAATAGTTGCTCACCTGGAATCAGGCAGGCACATGGATTGGTGATAGGTAGCTGAAAATTTGATGCAACAATTATATAAACAATGGTTGTGCAATGCTTCTGGTGGTTAAATGCATTTAGAGAACAGAAAAATTGAAAGATAAGTGAAAAACGGTGTCTACATAATTAACCACAATTGCAATTACAGGCAGATAAGCTGTCTGAAACACTCCTTTGCTTGTTAACTATGCCCTAAATTCAACTCTCTCTTCAATAGCAACATTTCATTTTCTCTAATTTGACTATCACAGGTTACTTCTACATTGAAAATAAAGAGGAGAAATGTGTATAGGGTACAAACTAAAAGACAAGTAGGGAATTCTTAAAAATCAAATTAAGAATTAAATATTATACGTCTTTTAGGGAAGACAACTACCATCCTTACCTGGTCTGGCTTACATGTCACTCCAGACCCACAGCCATGTGGTTGACTCTTATTTGCCCCCTGGGCAATTACAGATGGGAAATAAATGCTGGCCTAGCCAGTGACAAATCTCATCCAGTGAACAAATAACAGGAGATACAAGGCCAGGTGATGTGTTGTACTTGCACTGTGAGAGAGCCACAATGGGGTCCACCAGCTAAGTGACCACATCAGTAGCAAGCGTCGGGTGTGTGAGGAACCCTAGCTCAGAGTTGATGAGCTGGAGTCTGAGCTTTGAACACAGATACATCAGACAGAGGGAGGAGTTACCTGGATGCTGTATTTCAGGAGGCAGTCACACCCATTTAATTAATCACCATTATGGACAGTGGTCAAGAGACAGGAGGAATGGGACTATGAGCAACACAGGTAGAATGATCCAAGAGGTAGTGCTGAAGAAGCCTCAGTCTTTGAGCTGTCTAAAATGTTTGAGATTCTTGCTCTCTATGTAGATGAGAGCAGAAGCTACACAGAGGATGATCAAAGCGACCAAGGCACTGTGGCTAGGGGAGCCATTCAGGATTGTTTTTTTGTGGGGGGGGAGCGAGAGAAGAGCGAAAGAGAGACAAACAGTAATATTTTGTTATAAAATCAGGGATAGTATTATGAGAATAGCCACGGTTCTCTGCGGCCAACAGCAAAAGTCCTGAAGGTTGGTGCCCATGGGAAGACGATGGCCTAGTGGTATTATCACTGGACTGTTAATCCAGAGACCCAGATAATGTTCTGGGGACCCGGGTTCGAATCCTGCCACGGCAGATGGTGGAATTTGAATTCAATAAATA